TTTTTTTAATTAGTAAGGGTAAAAATGTATTTTTTTGGTGCGGTATAATCGATTTTGGGTGCGGTAAATAACAACACCCTTTTATTTTTGCTTTTTTTCTTCTTGTCATTTTTCGTCTGTATTTCAATTAACACCACGTTGACAGAGATTTTGATGTCCACCTTAAAATTTGTTTGTTTGTTTGTTTTTAAATGAACGGGGAATCGGAGATATAGTTCAATGGTATTATTATTCTTCGTAAAGAAAAAAAATGAATGGGGAATCCGATTGGTTCCATGTTGAGAAAAAGAGGGCGTGGGCCGATGGAATTTCTAGCCATTTGACTTTAGGCCGTGAATATTTCAATCTTTTAATACAGCCTTTCACATTTTTGATCATTTAGTTTAATAATAATTCGAAGTTGAGATTAAGTTTGTTGACATGTTAACAAAGCAATGTAGTTGGTTGATTAATGTGAATTAATATGGGGGTAATAAAAGCTTAGTGGAAATGAGAGGATGAAATACTACTAGTATGTACTTATACATTTTTTTTTTTCTCTAACCGCATAATTTCATAAATAAAACACATAATTACAAACGGATTACAACCGGTGTCAGGCGAAATAAGCAGCTACACAACTGAATCCTTAGGAGGACAACTCGAAAGGCCGCCTAGTCGTACGCACAACGCACCTACAAGCTCCCAAAAGGAGAATACAACTCCTAAAAATGAGAATAAACAGTACACACAACACACAAACACGAAAATACACTAAAAAACAATACAAATACTAGAATAATCCCTCCCCACCAGCTAACCAACAACCCCATACCCTAAGGCATCGGCATTGAACACGAAACAAGAAACTCCATACCGAAGCCAGCTAACTAGAACCCGCCCGAGTGCCACAGACCCTTCCAACAACAACCACCGTCAGCTAACCAAGCATCGAACATGAAACAAGAAACTCCAGAACAAAGTCGACTAACCCAAACTCGTTCGAAAGCCATCGACCCATCCAACAACAATTGCCATCGAAAAATTTGGGTTGCTCACCACAGACCATACCCACACACATCAATGGCAGCCGCCCCTCCCCAGGCAAGGCTAGAGCAGTCCCCTTCGATGGAGTCCTTCAATCCTAACACCAGAAATTGGCTGGACCCGAGCGTGGACATGCAGCGAGACACCGGTCCCAAACAGCTGTCGGAACAACACTCGAAACCGACGGCGAATGAGGAAAACGCGACAAACTCGAGACCGCACCCCACAGCCATGGCCACCGCGACGGGGAGAGACGCCACACTTGTATAGGGCCCGTCATGACGCACTCCCTCCTCTGCCGGCCCGAATCAGGGAGAAAGAGCCGAGAAAACGCATGCAGGAGGGCCCTTCAGAAGAAATTAAGCGACGATCAAGAGCGAGGAAGAAAGGGATCCGTTTGGTTCCCTGGTAGATTTTTCGTATGTATTTATACATGAAAACACGCTCTACTAGTATTCGATCTTGTTCATTTCTACATATGTAAATAAAGTATTGTGAGTTATCAGTTATTTGTATGCATATAATGATTCATGTTTTTTCTTTCATTTTTTTGCAGGCCAAATTTACAATTAAAGGAACTGCAATATTTTTTTTTAAAAAATATATTGTATTTATTAGATTGGATGTAATGTATATTTTGGTATGTATCTTTTTTTGTGAATTATTTATTATTTATTTAGGAATTTCAATTACGTTTTTTATTTAAAAAATAATAATAATTTAAATGTAACCACAATAATAACATCTAATCACATTATACGGTCAACACATTATATGGTAAATTGTTAGTAATCAAAATTTTAAAATATTTTTTTTTGTAATTTTAAAGTGATTAGTGTGTTGATTATCTAATAATTAAATAAAATATTAAATAAATTAAAAGTAACGGTTTTTGGAGGGGAAATATTAAATTTCCACATACGTAAAATTAAATAGGTTTTATTAAATATTTAGCTAGTAATTAGTATATATATATATATATATATATATTAAGAATTAATAACCATTTACTACCTTTTTTTGGAAACATGTTAAATAGATGAATTAATTTTTTCTATATACACGTTTTCAAATAAGATCAAATCATATACGATCAAAATATTGTTTGCTTAAATAAATTTATTAATATATGCAATAATTTCATTGATATCCATTATAATAAATTACAAGATTGATTTTTCGTGATTCATGTTGATAATATTTTGGTCAAGGTATATATTACAACATATTTTAAATTCTAACCATAATATTATCTTTTTTTCTCAAATATACATTTTTATCAAAAAATATTTATTGAAAATCGTAACAGGTTAAGTGAATTTTTTTCTTCCAATTAGTCATGTGAAATTAAGTTGGACAATTAATCTTTGCAAATATAATTTTTTTCTTAAGATTTATCGTTATATAAAAAAATCAAATTGTTCTTTGAGCTAATATAATTTACCATTTAAGATATAAATAGTATTTATATGTATATTATTGGCAACCATGATTATTTTTTTTATCATTTTTTGTATTTAACTAGTGAGAATCCCGTGCGATGCACGAGGATTCGTAACTTAAATTTGTTTTGCAAAACTTTATTTGAATAATGTATT